AGACATATATATGCATGTATGTATGTATGTATGTATATGTATACGCATATATCTTCTGTACCAGAATTGTATACCATCATATAGAAGTTGGTATGTATTGGTCTAGATATGGTACTGGTATATTCTTCCCATGCACACATGTGTGGTCCTCTTCTATAGGCATTCATTCGTGTGAGGCCAAAAGTGACTTTTATAAACCTGGCTGAAGTAAATCCCTTGCTTACTCAATCATGCGCGCAATGCTTACCTGTTAACGTATTACTTGCCTATGACCCGTATACCAATTCCTCTCCCACATACATCATAGCCTCTACTTACGTATACTCATTCATGTACGTATTCACCTCGCCCACAAATACCTTCACACGACTACGCATGGCTTACCGCTGTACATATACTCACCCGTGTATACATCCAGAGACATGCTTGTGTACCGTGCCTCTATACTCGGGCCGCCGTTTCCGAAGTCAAACCAAGCCAGGAGGCTATCCAGTGGTTGCTGGGGGGCTGAGCCGTAGACCGAATTCAGTTCTGTAGCATCAAGTGTGTGTATACATTTATAGCCGTTGTGATGTTGTGTGTGTTGGTGTGCTTGTACGGGTGTATGTGTGTGGTGAAGTGGAAGGACGCGCGTGGTCATTTCTGTTCAGTGTTATTTAGATAGGCTTGTTGTGTGTTGTATTTTGGTGTGTGGTTTACGCAGATAGGCCGGTGATGTATTGTTACGGGTGGCATACTTCTGTATTGTGCACGTGAGTATTCTGCAGCAGAACAGTGGAACGAAGACCACATCTCAGTCATGCCATATATATCTCAACACAAGCACACTCGCCCAAGCACATGCCACGCTTTAAGTGGCATACAAGAGGGTACTTAATAAACCATTGCCAAGTATAATGAGAAACCACGGGTGAGTACCACTGTCCCAGACACAGCCCACACTCTCCGATACTCTCCGCTCACATCGCAGTCACCATTTCCATCTCCAGAAGAACAGCCTTAGATAGACCCGATTTTAAACCGAAGCCCTTGCATGCTTACTCGCATCTCTACGTCTATGGCATGCTCCTTCACCGTCTCACACGTTCAACGAAATATATCCAATTCATCACACACTACAACCGTACATACTATCTATTAACAAGGCCCTAAGGTAGACCCTTGCATCGCCTACATTTGCCATTCGTATCACACTAAACCTTGTTTCATGCGCTCTAGTGAATGCTGTAATCATCGACGAACAAGGCCCTAAGATAGATCCTCGCATCGCCTACATTTGCCATTCGTATCACACTAAGCCTTGTTACATGCGTTCTAGTGAATGCTGTAACCATCGACGAACAAGGCCCTAAGATAGACCCTTGCATCGCCTACATTTGCCATTCGTATCACACTAAACCATGTTTCATGCGCTCTAGTGAATGCTGTAATCATCGACGAACAAGGCCCTAAGATAGACCCTTGCATCGCCTACATTTGCCATTCGTATCACACTAAACCATGTTTCATACGCTCTAGTGAATACATCAATCATCGACAAATTAGGCCCTAAGATGGACCCTTCCATCGTCCATGTTTGCCGTCAATACCTGCTAATCTTTGTATCATACAATCTAGTGAATGCTGCAAGTCCGCCAAGTATAACCAGAAGTACATACCATCGACGGATAAGGCCCTCAGATAGACCCTTGCATCGTCCATCTTTGCCGCCAGGGGCATGCTCGTCTCCATCTCCGACGTGAGTATCTCGCCGGACGACGGTAACGAGAATCTTCCGAACGCAAAGGCTTTACGTACATTCGCTAAACAGAAGAATCAATGACCGCATGGATTAGTACACCCGAACCACTATACATAGGACACCTGGGACCAGGTCTCACTAATTGCCACACACGTGATACACTAACACATAGACCAAAGGCGTGTATGTAGGGCAATAATAGTCTCAGACGCAATCTGACAACTCGTGTTCGCAGGAGCAGGGATAAACCCGTGCACAGCCAGAAACTGGGGAGATGCCGTGGTAGATAGTGCAGATTTTAGGGCTTTTAAGCTCTAAACCCTATACGACGGTGTGTGCGTACTTGCACGTTAATAGGATCCATTGTAGCATTAGCTGCCGGGGCAGTTGAGAATGTGTAACTCTGAATGGAGAATTGAGAAGGTGTCTCTATTGCTATCGATGGGACGGTGAATTCCCATCGGTACAACTTGGAAGGTATGGCATCACCATTCACAGATAAGAGAGCGTGGGGTATACTTTTTACAATTAAAAATCTACATCTGATGTCGCCTATCATTGGGAGAAGATAGCGATGTACACTACAACCAGAATATCATATATTAACATCTATGAATATAAATGCATATTTATATACCTTGGGACAAAAATTCTACATTCTAACACCTACAAAAAGAACGGTGTATCTCTAGTACTTACAGTTAGAAGACGTTTTTTGGAGGTCAAATTCAGTCCATTGGTTGGGCACCGGGTTCCCATCCAACGCATGGCACTCGAGGGATACATTCCCGTCGGTATAGACAATTAACGAGGTCAAACTGTAGCTCATGGCCACAAAGTGCCAGTCCTCATCATTCGTCAGCTGAATTAATGCAAGAATGCATGTTGATATATAACGAGTTATATGTATATATGAGTTATATTCGCATCGATGTAGACAAATAACTAAATATTTGTGTGTATATATA